GGTCCTGAGATTGTCTCAGCATAGATGCAAGATCCGGATGTCAATAGCCTATGGGTCACCCTCAGGGGCTAGCAGCATGGCACAGAGGTGAGGAGCAAAGTGAGCTTGAGCTGCCTATCCTCTAGGACATCATTGTCAAGGTTTGAAGCACCATGGACGTACGGAGGATGGGATGTTCAGAGACCACTTGAGTGGTGTGGTCAAGGCTACGGATGGAGGCAAATCCGGTGATAGCAGCAAAAAAGAATAGAGACAAACGAGGGAGGAGTTGTAGGGTCAGTGACGAGGGAGGAAAGGACACGGAAGACTGTGGGACGAGCGACATGGAGGAAGTCAGAATTGACTAAGAAGGTAGCAAGATGGCATGAGGTGGAACACGAAGGGTGAGAGAACAGAGGGACGTAGAGAGATAACCGGCCGCGGTAGACAAGGGATGAGCACGGAAAACTAGATGAAAGGGGGAAGAGAAAGGAGATGGATCAAGAAGCAGAGGAGGAGACAGCAGAGAACAAGGTGAAAACTGAGCCGGAGGTAGTGGTGAGGAGAAGGTAGGAGGATAGTTGGTCGAAGGGTAAGGAACACCAACAAGGTGAAGGGCAATCACACGCGGCAACGACTGCTACTGTGGCAACTGCTACCACGGTGGCTGCTACTGCACCGAATGTGGCTGTTGCTGCTGGTGCCGCCGATATTGTTGCTTCTGCTACTACAGTCTCGTCGAACGTCAAGGGCCTGCGGCACCCTTAGGTTTGAAACCTCCTGCAGTAGCACCCCCAAAGCTAGCACCCCTAGAGCTAGCACCCTCAGAGCCAGCAAACCTAGAGCCAGCACCCCAAGAGCCAGCACCCCTTGTAGCCAGCGCCCATCTTAGCTGCACCCCCCGAACCAACACCTCCAGCAGTAGCACCCCCGGAGTCTATAGCGATCGGCCGCTGTGGCGACAACGGCTGTTGCGGCGACTGCGAGGACGGGGTCAGGAACGATAGAGTCAGCGGCTGCAGCGGGGGCGGTGACTCAGGAGGCGCGCCGGGTCTCGAGAGTCAAGGGGGGTGCCTTGTGTACACTAGACGGGGTAGGATGCGGGGGTAGGGGAGGAAGCGGAGGAATGAGACCAAAGGGAGGAGTGGGAGTGAGAAACAGGGTAGGGGAGGAAACCGGGGTACCTCGGTGAGGGAAGTGGGTGTAGAAACAAACAGACTCATCAAAGGTAACGTTACAAGAGCTGGAGAAATGGTGAGACAAAGGGTGGTAGAACAGCCAGTCAAGAGCATATAGGGGTAGAGACTAGGGAGAGTGCGGGGTGAAAGCTTGTCCGCGCGAGGATTGCGGACGTGAGCAAGGTAGCCCTAGACGCAAAACGAAGGGGCAGCATCAGGGGACGCAGTCCAGAGAAGGGTCGGCGAAGCATACGGCCATGAGACACGGAGCCACATGCTAGGTTGGTGAGCGGTAAGCTGACAGCAAAAGACCATTGAAATTGGGGGGCACTGGCATGGCATATGGAGGTATGAGCGATCTGCATGACATGCTCAGCGACCCTATTCTGCTGGGGCGAGTCTGGTAGCGAGTACTTCTGGCAGATGGTCTCCGTACAAAAGAACTGCTCAATCTAACGTGATGCGAACTCATCACCATGGCCAGCGTGCAGACGAAGCACAGACCGTGTGAGGATCAAATACTCGAGTTCAGTTTTATTCATGATCACATAGGTACAACACGATGCTATATATAGGAACGATACAAGGCAAGGTAACCAGGTGTTACGAGAAGGTTCCGAGGATCACGAAGCGTCCGAAACTATACCTTCCCTAATTCGGTAGAATCAATTCGGTGGAATCAGGCATTACGCAAAGTCACGCGGTGATAACCGAAATGAAACATAATCGGTGCACGTAACCTATTTCGGTACCTATAACTGTAATAACTATTGTAAAGCAATGTAACTAGGAAAACAAGCACAAGAAAATAGAAATAAGCAAGATAATGCAAGATAAAGTAAATATGGGTACGTGTAGCCACTGTACTCTCACAGACTGGGTGCGCTGGGTGTGGACGATCACGAGCCACGGGAGGAGAGCGCCAGGCACGCCGCCCTTCTGCTGCAAGGAAAACATCACGGTGTAGAGGGAAATGACGTCCACAACTGTTAGGAGGTATCGCTCTTCGCGCGGCTAGCGACTCGTGTGCTTCTTTTCTCGCTGAGCAGCCGCTGCCGAACTGGGAGAGACAAGCTCAGCTCGCATAGTGTATAGTGGTTGCTTTCGCTGGTGACACTATTCAGTGCCGACAATAGTGAGGAGATCTTACAAGGAAGAATTTGTGTGCGTTTTATTCGTTCATAGTACTTTTCTTAACCGGAACCGTTAACAAATTTAATGAACCCTGTATACCTAGATCCTGTTCCACGTGGATTCGACAAGCGGAAGGCCGTGAAGGAGCTGAAGGTGCCCTGTTCTCGCGAAAGCACTTAAGTGTGAGATTACATTTCATTTGAGGCTGACGGCGATGCTGTGGACTTAGGACTGGAAGGACAGACACCCGAATCTAGTGAAACCGTCAGTGGAGGTGGCAATCTTACCACTATCTATTGTCGAATGTGAGCAGGGTTCATTTACGCTAGAGCTTCATCATGACAGCGGGGTAGCTTGACGGACGCTTGGCTCAGTAGCCTGTTGTGCATGACAATGTTGGAGTACGAGCCCGACTGGCCTGTCGTGGTAGAGATTTGGCGCTGCTACCGTAAGAGAGAAAGCTCTTCACCATATCACGGGCACAAGGTGGTGCAACTGGCCGAGTGGGAGAGGCCAAAGGAAAGGAGGCAGTGGATGATATAGTAGATGCTATGTTTGTGCACCTTGATGTGGAGAGTGACGGAGATATAAAAAACATAATTCAAGCATGTAACTTGTTATAACCTATAAGGAAACAAAATCAGTCTTAAAGATTGTACCACGTTGAAATATCAGCTACAAAGGTACCCTCAATATTAAAATTCCATATTTTTAAGGGTGTAGAAGACATAACTCCCTACCTAAAGGTACGGTCTTAGCCGATGTAAGGCTCGCTGACACAAGGCTATGGACGATGTAGATCACTCCACATCATCATGGTTTGAGTTAGGGCGTGTTACAATTTTTTTTTTTTTTTTTTTTCCGTCCGGCCGGCCAACCGTCCGGAGGGATGTGTGGTTACGGAACTCGTTAAATCTCGGCAGTGAGGTCGTCAGGGTCTAAACGACGTCGCATCCTCCTCCTTACGACATCGCATCCTCCTCCTTACGACATCGCATCCTCTTCCTTACGACATCGCATCCTCTTCCTTACGACATCGCATCCTCTTCCTTACGACATCGCATCCTCTTCCTTACGACATCGCATTAGTCGCAAAACGACCGTGCGACGTCGCAATCTTCGCACGCGTCTGGACAGCCGTCCGGACTTTCAGCGACTTCGAAAAATGTAGCACGCCCTAAGTGTTTGAGGCACCCTAACTCAAAACTGTAAGGGGCATTCAACTCTGGTCCAGACAGACAAGCAGAGTATGCGGTGAGCGTGGATCGAACACGCGACCTTCAGATCTTCAGTCTGACGCTCTCCCAACTGAGCTATCCCCGCACGTTGTTCGTGCCAAAACATTGAATACAGTTAATATTTCGTTCAATGTATTGTTTTTGAGTCATGATAGTAATGTTCATGTACTTCAGAATTTGCCATATCCGTTTTGCACACACTTGTCCTCGTCGCCAGCGTCTTTATGTGATTCAGGAACTTGAGTTGTCCCACTTGTGTTAGCACCACGCTCATAATGACGCGATTCCACTCCTCCGGGACTAATCGATTGGCCAGAACTCTTCAAGTCATCTTTAAGTCTCATATTACGATCAGCCGGGTTCTAGTCTTAATCGTTTTCCTCGTAGTAGCCTACTTGACGTCCCTCTTATTGCTCCGATCTGGTAGCCTTTTTACCGGAAAACCCGCGAGCTTCCATCCGTCCGCATTCCCTCAGAGCGGGTGCGAAACTGCTAGGAATTGCCATGGCACAGTCATGGACCGATATGTATATACCGCGGATCCGGAATTCAGGTGAGCATTCACTTACGCCGACCTGCATTGACTCACATTGACCTGCATTGACTCACGTTGACCTACGTGGACTCATGAGCACCGTCAATTGCATCCGTCAACGCCGTAGTAGCTTCGTCTAGAGAAGGAGCCTCTCGTGCAAATGACTGAAAACCTATCAATGAAGGGGCCGCTCGAGAGTAGTTTACTAGACACACGCGTCCCCTGCACGGTCGTGTGTTTGCAATATCGCGCACGTACGCGTCGAGGTCTGTAGTCGTCGTCAGGCGCGCCGCTAGGCGGCTCTCACTCGTCGCCTTCTACCTCTCGCCATCGCGCTGACCGTCGCTCACGTAGCGTCCTTCGCGCTCCGACCAAGCCTGCCTGCTCTTTGCTGATGCTACACAGTCGTCTGAGTTCCCCTTTTCCCGCAGCAGGGTAGGTAGATTAGGGCCTGATGGACACATAGCGCAGTTCTTATGGCCGCTCCATTGCTTGTATGAGGGCGTCTACTCTCTTCCCTGTGCTGTGCCATTATAACGAGGTGCACTGCTAGATATCGTAGATGTGTCTATACCGCGCATGCGATGCAGAATTGAGGTGAGTTTACATGAGCCAAGTTAAGGACGAACCTTGCGGGTTGACTCGACTCGACGGCACTGTTTCACTCACCAATCGATCCTGGTTACGATTTTCGTCATGCGCTGTCTGTCGTGCTGCTTGCAGCCTGGAGGGCAGAGCACATGGGTAAACCATACCTGCATCCATCATGCGAGCCTCTAGTCTTTTCTCTACCTGCTTCAAGTATCTATCACCTAATAGCTACCCGTGTGTTTTCTGCGCTGCTGCTGGCAGGTGGGAGGACACGGGCAATCGCATGCGATCAAAGGAGGGAGGGGGGTGGTGGACGGGGTATGTGCTCAAGGTTTACACGCACCAATGGCTCAACCGGACTGTTACCAACCGTTACAAGTGGTGGCACTGGCTCATTCTCATGGTACGTATGTGTGCGGCATGGTGCTCATGGTATGGGATGACTTGTCGCTGGTGCTCATGGTATGGGATGAAATGATGGCATGGTATGGTATGGTGCTCGACGCTAGTAGTACGAGCGTGGCTGGTGCTCATGGTATGGGATGACTTGTCGCTGGTGCTCATGGTATGGGATGACTTGTCGCTGGTGCTCATGGTATGGGATGACTTGTCGCTGGTGCTCATGGTATGGGATGACTTGTCGCTGGTGCTCATGGTATGGGATGACTTGTCGCTGGTGCTCATGGTATGGGATGACTTGTCGCTGGTGCTCATGGTATGGGATGACATGGTGCTGGTGTTGTGGGCTGCTGCCGTCTCCTCTCCACCATGCCATGTTGTAACCCGCCCCACTGCACAGCGCGCACAATGGTCTGCTTGCCTCAGTTGTTCCTCCCTTCCCCCCCACCAGGCGCCAGACAAGATGCACAATGCGCACAAGGGGCTGGTGCTGTTCTTTGTGTGGGCGGGGCTGACGAGATTTTCAACCGCCCCTCCCTCCCCCACCTCCCTCCCGCCATCCACTGCATGCCTCCATCCAACCCCACCCCCCCCCCCCCCCCACCAGGCGCCGGACAAGATGCACAATGCGCACAAGGGGCTGGTGCTGTTCTTTGTAGGAGCGGCGCTGGCGAGATTCCATCTGCCCCTCCCTCCCCGACCTCCCTCCCGCCACTCCCCCCCACTCTCCCCCACCAGGCGCCGGACAAGATGCACAACGCGCACAAGGGGCTGGTGCTGTTCTTTGTGGGGGCGGGGTTGAACCCCGTCAACCAGGTGCACATCCCGGGCGCTGATGAGATCTTCATCCGCCTTGCCGCCCCGTACGTGCCCTCCACTGCCCTCCACTGCCCTCCACTGCCCTCCACTGCCCGCCCACTGCCCGCCCACTGCCCCCACACATCCACTGCTTGTGCTCTCACCACGTGCCGACTCACTATTGCAACTCGCTGTGGCGATTCTTTCCGTCCACCCCCCATGTGTATCCCTCCCTCCCTCCCTCCTATGCAACGTGCATGCAGCATGGTGGTGGATTCGGGCATTTTGGGAGTGATGCTACAGCAGGTGGTGCTCATGATTCCCATCTTCCATCTCTCTTCTCCCCTTCTCTCCCTTCCCGTTCCCCCCTTTCCCCGCTTCAACCCCTTTCCCCACTTCAACCCCTTTCCCCTCTTCAACCCCTTTCCCCACTTCAACCCCTTTCTCCGCTTCAACCCCTCTCCCCGCTTCAACCCCTTTCCCCCAACCGTGCAGCATGGTGGTATATCTGGGCATTTTGGGAGTGATGCTGCAACAGGGTGCCAATGCAACCCCCCTCACGTCTCACCCCTACAGCAGCTCTCAGCTTCCACTTTTCCTTTCCCCTTCTCACCTCCCCTCGTTCGCCGTTATCCTTGCCCTCCCATGTGACTGCATGCAGCATGGTGGTGGATTTGGGCATTCTGGGAGTGATGCTACAGCAGGTGCCCATGATGCTCTCCTCTCGCCCTCTCCTTACCCCCACTTTCCCACCACCGCTACCCGTCCCTCTCCACCCACACGTGCAGCATGGTAGTGGATTTGGGCATTCTGGGCGTGATGCTACAGCAGGTGCCCATCTCAGATTCTTCCTCCTTTCGTCTCTCCTCTTCCCTTTCCCCTCACTTCCACTCCCACCCCGCTATCTCTCACGTTCCCTCCTGCATGCAGCATGGTGGTGGATTTGGGCATTCTGGGCGTGATGCTACAGCAGGTGCCCATGATGCCCATCAGCTTCAAAGTGGGTCCCCCTGGCATAGGCCCGCGGGCTGATCTCATTGAAGAGGAAATCACCGCCCGTGAGTGCATGATGGACGAGTGCATGATGGACGAGTGCATGGCAAGTGGGAGAGATATAAGTAACACAAAGTAAGTGGATGATATACATCAATTTCTGCTTAAGGCATGGCTTGGTCAGCATGGTCAGCAGCATGGTCAGCATGGTATGGTCAGCATGGTATGGTCAGCATGGTATGGTCAGCATGGTATGGTCAGCATGGTATGTCAGCATGGTATGGTCAGCATAGTATGGTCAGCATGGTATGTCAGCATGGTATGGTCAGCATGGCATGTCAGCATGGTATGGTCAGCATGGTATGTCAGCATGGTATGGTCATCATGGTATGTCAGCGTGGTATGGTCAGCTCAGCATGGTATGTCAGCATGTCAGCTGGCCCCAGGAATAGGGCAGTCTCTCTATCTCCACCCATCCACATCGCAATGTACCCCACCACATGCAGACACCATCGCCATGTTCCTGGACCATCCAGACGAGTGGGAGTGGCTCACCCCCCTGCCATGGCCGCACTCTGTCTTCCTCCACCCACATGATGTGCCATGCATCCCTTTGCACACTTGCACATGCACCTGTTTCGCCACCCACGCATGCAGACACCCTCGCCATGTTTCTGGACCATCCAGACGAGTGGGAGTGGCTCACCCCCCTGCCCCATTGCCGCACTCTGTCTTCCTCCACCCACATGATGTGCCATGCATCCCTTTGCACACTTGCACATGCACCTGTTTCGCCACCCACGCATGCAGACACCCTCGCCATGTTTCTGGACCATCCAGACGAGTGGGAGTGGCTCACCCCCCTGCCCATGGCCAAGTCCATCATCCGCGCCCTCGATGCCACGCAGCTCGCTGTTAGAGAGCTGCTGCCGCATGTGCCCGTGAGTGCTTCTGCTGCTCACTGTTGTTGCTTGCACGAAATGGTTTTTCCTCACATCGGTCCCGGAAGGCTCCCTCACCCTCCTGCCCATGGCTAAGTAAGTCCATCATCTGCGCCCTCGATGCTAATAGCTGGCCGCTAGGGAGCTGCTGCCCCACGTGCCGGTGAGATGGGTGTGTGGGTGAGTGTGAGCATGGATGGCATTGCATGACCCCATCATGAGTGTCAGCATGGATGGCATTGCATGACCCCATCATAAGTGTCAGCATGGATGGCATTGCATGACCCCATCATGAGTGTCAGCATGGATGGCATTGCATGACCCCATCATGAGTGTCAGCTTGGATGGCATTGCATGACCCCATCATGAGTGTCAGCATGGATGGCATTGCATGACCCCATCATGAGTGTCAGCATGGATGGCATTGCATGACCCCATCATGAGTGGCTCACCCCCCTGCCCATGGCCAAGCCAATCATCCGCGCCCTTGATGCCACGCAGCTCGCCGCCAGGTAGTTGCTGCTCCACGTGCCGGTGAGTCGATGTCTTATCTTCACACGTGTGTCAGTGCCTCACCCACTACCTCGCATCCCCCTGCACCCCTCTCACATCTTGCATGATGCAAGTTGCACGGATGGTGTAAGCCTCCCTCACCCCCCTGCCCATAGCCACGTCCATCATCTGTGCCCCTGATGCCACTCAGCTCGCTGCTAGGGAGTTGCTGCCGCACGTGCCGGTGAGTGCTGCTGCTGCCTCGATAGTGTTACTGCCTGCAAGGAATGGTTCTTCTTTACATGGGAACCGAACAGCTCCCTCTCGTTTAATCATTGCCCATTCCTGACAATCATTCCCCATTCTTGTCAATTGTCGCCCGTGCTTGTCAATCATTGCGCATCCCCGATAAATCATTGCCTGTTCTTGCCATCCCATCACACATCATCTGGCTGTTGCTGTTGCTGTTGCTATTGCTGTTGCTGTTGCTGTTGCTGTTGCTGTTGTTGTTGCTGGTGCTGTTGCTGTTGCTGGTGCTGTTGCAGTTGCTGTTGCTGTTAGTGTTGCTGGTGCTGGTGCTGGTGCTGGTGCTGTTGCTGTTGCTGTTGCTGTTGCTGTTGCTGTTGCTGTTGCTGTTGCTGTTGCCGGTGCTGTTGCTGTTGCTGGTGCTCTTGCTCCTGCTCCTGCTCCTGCTCCTGCTCCTGCTCCTGCTCCTGCTCTTGCTGTTGCTGTTGCTGTTGCTGGTGCTGGCTCGCAGGTGGAGGGGTTTGTGGCGATCGGAGTGAGCAAGCGAGCAGGCATGTCCTACTTCGCTGCAGCTCTAGACAAGGTGCGGTGCAGTGTGGCAAGGTACGGTACAGAATCGTACAGTGTGGTACGGCGCAGTGTGATACAGCCTCAACCTGCTCAACACCGTGGCCATTCTGCAAGCAATGCATGCATGCCGCTTGCCTTCTTCATCCCCTCCCCTCTCCCCAACCCCCTTCCACACCCGCCCAACCAACCCCCCCTCTCCCCCCCCGCAGTCCCTCATCTCCTTCAGCGGGGGGTGTTCTGGCTGGCATTCACATCGCACGGTGCTATGGGCTGAGGGCACATGGCTACAGAGCAGATTCCTCGTCCCTCACATCCCCTTGATCCTCTTCCCTCACATCCCCTTGATCCTCTTCCCTCACATCCCCTTGATCCTCTTCCCTCACATCCCCTTGATCCTCTTCCCTCACATCCCCTTGATCCTCTTCCCTCACATCCCCTTGATCCTCTTCCCTCACATCCCCTTGATCCTCTTCCCTCACATCCCCTTGATCCTCTTCCCTCACATCCCCTTGATCCTCTTCCCTCACATCCCCTTGATCCTCTTCCCTCACATCCCCTTGATCCTCTTCCCTCACATCCCCTTGATCCTCTTCACTTCCCCATCACCCCCATCAGCGAGTTGTCGCCTCGCCTTCATAACGTACGGCTACGATCGCCTCAACGAGGTGGCCTATCTGCACCACACTCATGCCCCTTCCTTCCCCCTTCCCTCCGCTCCCCCCCCCCTCCACCCCTCTCCATTCCCTCATCTCATGCAGTGAGTGGTGGCATTCACAAAGTATGGCTACGATGTGCTCAACATGGTGCCCAATCCACAGTAGCACATCCACTCCCCGTCCCTTCCCTTCCCCTAATCCCCCTCCCTTCCCCCCCAACCCCCTACATCCCCACGTCTCATGCAGCAACTAGTGGTGCCCAATCTGCAGCACATGCGCACCCCTTCCCTCAGGCTACATGCGCACCCCTTCCCTCAGGCTACATGCGCACCCCTTCCCTCAGGCTACATGCGCACCCCTTCCCTCAGGCTACATGCGCTTTCTTCCCCCACCCCCCTCGCCCCATGCAGCGAGTGGTGGCGTTCATAACGTACGGGTACGATGTGCTCAACGTGGTGCCCAACCTGCAGCACATGCACGACTCGCTGGGCGGCTGGCCCATTCTGCTCAAGTTCAACTCTGAGTACAACATCAGCCAGCGCCTCCACTCCAACCTGTACCGGAAAGCGGCGGTAAGCTGCTGCTGCTGCTGCTGCTGCTGCTTGCCACTGCTTGCTGTTGCCGCTGGCAATGCCGTTATTCGGTGCCTCAAGGCGCTGGCCCATACTGCTCGAGTTCATCTCCGAGTACAACATCTCCCAGTACAACATGCCATGTCACGGATCTCAGCTCGGTCACTTGCTGACCTTATGCCATGTCTGACCCTCCGCACCCACACATGCAGGAAGTGATCGACCCGTACACGCTCATCGACCGCATGGACATGCCCAAGCTGCTCATCTCCGCCTCCAACGACGAGTTCTTCCTCATCGACGACTCGTCAGTGCTGCCGTGCCCCTTCATGCTCCTCCACGTGCCTTCATGCCATGCACCTTCGTGTGTCTTCATGCTCCCTCATGCTCCTTGATGCGCCTTCAATCCACCTTCATGCCCTCCTATACCTCCCCTCCTATACCTAGAAATGGGTAGTCATATCAAACAAAGGGTTTTACAGAATCAGTCTGATTGGTCGTCTGGTGCCCCCGGGTGATTTCGCTTTTGTGCCTCAGATGATCCGCTGGTGCTTCGAATCTTGGAAATGAGGGCACTGCAGTGGGAATCTTGGTCTTGATGAAATTACCATGAAAGAAGAGGGAAGGTGGTATGGTAGTATAGCAGCCAGCTAGTGTGTTCCTAGAAAGCATACCCTAGGGCGGAGGTGCGAGATTGGGATGGTTCTTACCTTGTTGCAGAGTCCTGCGACTCGTCAGAAAGAATACAGAGCTCTATCCTCGTTCATGTCTGCCGGTTTTCCTCTCCCCCTGTATTTCCCCCCTCCCCCTCTCTCCCAACTGCCTTCCCTGCCTACGCACGCAGCTACTATTTCATGAAGGACATGCCACAGCCCACGCAGTTCAAGATAGTGCCCAACCTCTACCACATGGTCATCCAGAACTCCTTCTGGGTCAGTGCTGCCGTCCCTGCCTCCAATACTCCTCTCTACCTCTCGCTACAGCTTTGCCCTTGATAGTGCCCAACCTCTACCACATGGTCATCCAAAACATCCTTGTCCTGCTCTCTGGCCCAGTATCCTTGTCCTGCTCTCTGGCCCAGTATCCTTGTCCTGCTCTCTCGCCCAGTATCCTTGTCCTGCTCTCTCGCCCAGTATCCTTGTCCTGCTCTCTTGCCCAGTATCCTTGTCGTGCCCTCTCGCTATTTGGGGAGCCCATGCTCTTCCGTATGGTTGTGAAAAAGGTCTGTTGGCACCCTGTATCCCATCCAGAACCATGCGCCTTTTGAGATGTTTCAATAGTCTGTTGGCTCCCTATATCCCATCCAGAAAGAAACATGCGCCATGCCTGTGAATCATTTTCTCCGTTTGGTAAGCCCTGGTGCTTCTCTTCGTCTCTTCTTGTTGGCTGTCATTCGCCCACTGCCCTCCTGTGACCTGCTCTTTCCAATTCCTCGTTCCCACCTCCTCTCCCCCTTTTTCCTCCCTTTCCCCGCATTCCCCCACTCCTCAGGTGATGTCTGCCCTTCTTCTCCTCTCTCCTCGAAGCTGATTCCTCCTGCACCTCTTTCACCCCCTCCTCCATCCCCACCTCCTCTTTCCCTTACTCTCCCTCCTCTCTCCCTCTCCCCCCCTCTCACCCATCAGGCATATGACGCAAGCATCTCCTTCTTCTCCTCTATCCTAGAAGTCGATTCCTCCTGCGCCTCTCTCCCCGCCTCCTCCCGCCCCTCTCTCACCTGGACTCGACCCAACACCTCCTCCTCTTCTTCCTCTTCCTCCTCCTCATCTCCATCCTCTTTAAGAGCCACTTCAGTAGAGGGTACAGGATTGTTCTCTCAAGGAGGTGGAGGAGAAGGAGGTTCGGGAACTTCCGAGCGTAAGATGCTGCCTTGGAGCTGCACGCCGAAGCTGCCAGCTGTATCGTGGCCGAACCTGAGGTGGCGGTTTGATTGGTCCACGTTCACCATCTATGCCACGTCAGAGCGCAAGCCATTGGCTGTCAGAGCGTGGTGAGTGAATGGGGGGTGGTAGGTGTGAGGGAGGAGAAACGAGGGAGAGATGGGGAGGAAAGATGGGGACGAGGGAAATGCGGAGGAATAGGGGATGGCAGTTGGGTGGGGGATGGCATTTGGGTGGGGGATGGTAGTTGGGTTGGGGATGGGGAGGGGATGGTTTGGGAATGCGTGGGGGATGTATAGGTTATCCAGGAGATGTACCTGCTACTTTGGTACTTGTTATGCTGTCCCTTTCCTTATCCCTGTTGTCTTCCCCAGGGTGATGTACAAGTCCTGTTCTCTGCTTCTCATCCGCTTCCCCCTGTGGTCTCTTCTATTGTTTTCTTTGTGTGGTCAGGAGTGCTCGCACAATTCTGGGCAGCAAGCGAAGGGACTTCCGAATGGTCATCAAGCAAGGCTCAGCAGGATGGTGAGAGGAGAGGAGAGGAGAGGAAAGGAGAGGGAAGGAGAGGAGAGGAGAGGAGAGGAGAGGGGAGGGGAGTGGAGGGGAGGGGAAAGGGGGGGAGGGGAGGGAAGGGGAGGGGAGGGGAGGCGGGGGGAGGGGAGGGGAGGCGGATGGAGGGGAGGGGAGGGGAGGGAGAGAAGCGGAGGGGAGGGGAGGGGAGGGGAGGGGAGGGGAGGGGAGGGGAAGGGAGGGGAGCGGAGGGGAGGGGAGGGGAGGGGAAGGGAGGGGAGCGGAGGGGAGGGGAGGGGAGCGGACGGGAGAGGAGGAGAGAGGAGAGAAGAGGGAAGGAGTGAGGAGAGGGGAGGAGAGGAGAGGTGAGGAGAGGAGAGGAGAGAAGAGTGTTGCGTCGCTGTTTAGCAGAAAACATCCCCACCTTTTCTCCCCATACCCCACCCCCCACCCTCTCCACCCACCCTTCCCCCCCACGGTTCTTGTGTTCCCCGGAACCCCCAGTGTGGCCCCTTTCCAGATTCCATCTGTCACGTATCCGGGAAATTTCGGCATGCTGTGTGTGCTTCCACACTCCTTGTACCCCTTTGCTTTCCCCATCCCCACCCCTCCCCCCCTTTCCTTTTCCCCGCTCCCTCTTTCCTCCCAACCCGGCCCCCATCTCCCAGTGTGGCGCCCTTCCAGATGCCCTCCTTCACATACCCGGGCAAGTTCGGCATGCTGTGTGCGCAGCCCATACCGTATGTGACTGTGAACATGTCAACGCCCAGGGCGGAGGATGACGGGTTGTGGCACTTCCACGCTACCATCACTGATGTGCCCAAGGTGAGTCGGAGTGTGAGTGAGTGAGTGAGTGAGTGTGTGTGTGTGTAGACACTCTATACACCATAGAAGCATGCAGTTTCTGCATATGGCCAGCCTATGCAGTTTGTCAGGGAGAGGATGGGAGGTTGTGGCACTTGGGTTGACATATGTGAAATGTCTTCCCAAGCAGTGAAGTGATTAGCATGCCATGGGCTGACATGGGCTGAATTCACTTCACAACTTGTGAAGACCAGCCCTGGTAGTTTGGCTTGACATGGTCGAATATTGCCTTCCCATTCTGACTTTCCTTTCTGCCTGCCCTTTCTGCCTGCCTTGTCTCATGCAGGAGGGGTACAGGGCAATGTTCATAGAAGCGGATTTCAACCAGGGCCCGTACAAGAAGCCATTCACCACTACCACAGAGGCTATTTGCTGCTCCCAGCACCCACAAGTGCTTGCTCCCGCTCCGCTTGACATGTCTTTCTGTGTGCACTTTTGTGCCTGCCCCTCCCTTGTCTCATGCAGGAGGGGTACAGGGCGATGTTCATAGAGGCGGATTTCAAGCAGGGAACGTATAAGAAGCCCTTCACCATCACCACAGAGGCTATGGTCGCCCCCAACACGCTGCCCTTCTCGCCCTGCACCAAGACAGAGTGCTACTTCCACTTCGTGTAACCCCGTATCGTGTTCATGACGTTTTCTCTTTTATTATAATCTCCAAGTCTTCTTGATTTGTTGGGTGTCCTTTGTTTTAATGAATTCAGTACCGTATTATTTGGTCCTTATGAATTTGCTGCACTGCAAGCTGTGCCAACTTCACACCACTCTGCCGCACACCACTCTGCCGCACACCACTCTATCACACACCACTCTGCCGCACACCACTCTGTTGCACTCCAGTGGCCCTACTTTGGTGCACACTGCACAACATCAGGGTGCTACATGAACAGGAGGCACGAACAATGCATATGATAATGAAAACTGGATTAGGATTCTGGGGAGAGCACCTAATGAAAACATGCGAGTTCCATGCTAAGGTATCTGATAATACTTAGGGTGCATTCCTGCGTCGACATTTGTGTCTCAAAGCGTTTGTGACGCGTAAAAACAACATATAACGTACCATGTCTCAAACGCGAATCGCCCAAGTGCGATTTTACTGTTTTTTTCATTACCGTAATTAGCGTGAAACGCACTGACGTCGTTGACGAATTGTAAGCCGACTCGTCATTGTTAAAGGATCGCATGCAATTCGAAATGTCAATGCACCTAGACAGGCTACAATGCGAATTTCCCGCGGGAAACAATCTCTCGTGTCGAAACCACACTTCAGCCAATTGGTTGAAGACACGGGTGTAAGTCATTTGTGTCACCCAATCACATGCGCACAACTGTGCATTTCGCCTGGTCGCTTAGTGTCGCGATACATTTAGTTTTTGTGACGCGAGATTGACAAAATGTTTCGACGCGACTCGGGAAAAAGGGGATTGAGACACAAATGTCGACACAGGAATGCACCCTTAGTAGCTTTTGTACAGTAACAGGGCAATCGTCTACTGCGACAGACTTCGAAATCAGCTTCGCCATCGGGATGTTCGTCAGGTGGTCGTGTGGGACGGAAGGAGGTACGGGCACTAGGAAGCAGCAGAGTGATTGGTGAAAGGTGCAAGGAGGTGATGAGCAGTAGCAGCAATGGAAGGTGGTAAGTGGAGAGGGGGCTCAAGAAGGCAGATCCTGATTTAACCTACAAAAGGCGGGCGCGGAGGCTGTGGAGAAGGTGTTGGTTCTTGAGTGAAGCTTTGGAACACTGACTGTGGACTCACTATTAACTCGTCTTGGGTTCTGAGGGGTCTAAAACACCGTGGGGGTGGCGGTGCTTGACGCCAAACCACATGAGGACCTTGTGGAGGAAGGGATGGTGGCTTATGGCCCGGACAGGATGGTGGTTGGCGTGGGGCCTTTTGGGGCGGATCAGCGGAACGTCGCGGTGGGGCCTTGTTGAATGGGTCGTTGACCGGTGTAGGTGGGAGGTGCGATGCATCGGGGCAGACGAAGTCGAAGTGGATCTTGTAGGCTGCTACTGCAAAGCGCGACGCGTTGAGTACCCCCTTTGCCGCCCATGCAGCCAATAGCGTTTTGAAGTGGAACAAGGCAAGCGCTGTAGATGGACCGTGGGGGGGGGCGGGGGTAGGGTGGGTGGGATGGGAGGAAGGGGAGGAGATGGAGTAAACTTTTGAGTCGACTCAAAAGGTGGCGTGTTGAGGACCCTTTTCGCTGCTCGCGTGGCTAGACGGGTCATGAAGTGGAAGAAGGCAAGTGCTGCCGGTCGGAGATGGGGTGGGGGGATATAGGAGGGAGGGGAGGAGGGAGGAGATGGAGGGAAAGATGGATTTGGTCAAATGGGAGTGAGAAAATGGCAAGGCATGTCGAGGGGAGAGAAATAGGGGAGAGGAAAACATGATGTCATTTATCCCACTGCACTAATACACTCTATCCTTGAAGCGCTCGAAATAATTTACCTCGAATTGTGTGTGTTACCAGTCCAACCGCAGTTAGAGGGTGCGCTTGGGTGCAACGACCCACCACATTTATTATCCAAGGCAAATTTTGATAATCACAACAAATGATTCAGAATTTGTCTCGTAATGATTCGACTGTGATATTTTCCACTGGTGAAATCGAGAGGCAAACAAAGAACTTTCATTAAACGAAAATGCATACGCACATGCAATTTTGCAATCAACAAGGCACTCGAGCTTCAACAACTCCTCATCCCGCAGGACTACTGCCTCATCCTCTCGATCTACTATGCCCGCTAGGTACCCACCCCCTAGTTGGGCTTTGCAAAATCCCGCTGGCTGCCCGAGGGGCTACTGCCATCATGGCACTTGTTATCCGTACTCGGCTTGCCACCGTACTTCACCGACTTGCGGTGGTGGCACTCATAACCCTTGTGACCAGGCTTGCTGCACTTGAAGAAACTCTTGACATTGCTTGGACCACCTTCTTGGCCTTGTGGCCAGCCTGCTGTCCCTGCTGGAAGGGCCTCTTGTGGTTCCCGCCCTTCCATAGTGTTGCCTGCTGCCTTCCGCTTGGACCTGCAGGGCTAGAAGACGGCCTTGAGGTGTGCTGCGGCTGGGTAGTAGTCTTCGCATAAGCACGGAAATGCTTATCAATGGTCCCCACCACGTGCTTCACGTGATCATAGGACCTTCACGACTCCCCAACCCCATCCGTCATGTGCATGGTCTGGAGGTGCTCAGGCAGGCCCTTGAAGAAGAGGTGGATCTTCTCGCCTTTGCTCATATGTTCTGCCGGTTTTTGGAGCACCCAGATCTCCTCGAACTCCACAGCGTACTGCTAAACTGTGCGGTTCTCGCACTGCAGCTTCTCAAGGCGGCTTCGCACCTCCGACTGGGTCGGCTGGACTTGGAGAGGCTGCTTGAGTTCAGAAGCAAATTCCTCCCACCCGAACGGCTTCTTATTTGCCTCAGCCTAGAGCTTGCTACCATACACCACTTGCTGTGCATTCTGGTCCAGCATGGTGGTGGCAGCGACGACACGACCGTCGTTATGGACCTTGTGAGCCGCGAATAGGTCGGTCATTATCGACAGCCATGCTGCCAAGTCCGTCTTGCCATGGATGAATGGCGGCAGGGTAATTGGGAGAGAGCAAAAAACGCGCAGCGTAGAAGGTCCGGCCTCACCTGCCACACCACCAGAGCGAGAAGAGTGGATGTGACCGCTAGCAGAGTGGGCAGGCGGGTCCGCTCGTGCTGCAGGCGAAACCTGGTCTCCTGGCGGAAACCCTTGAAAGCTCCTTGTAGGTCGTTGATCTTTGAAGTCAGCCTTCCCAACTGATGAACATGCTACCTTGCATCGTGCTTCATGTTCTTGAGCTCAACTTCCAAGAACTTGATTTTGTTGCCTTGGTTAGAGAGCTCCCCCTTGAGGTTGGTAATGAGCGACTGCTGCTTCTGGATGCACATATCCTGCTTAGCAACATGGTCTTGCAGCTTGGCAATTTAAGTATGCAAGATGTCCTCTTTGCCCTCCAACTAAATGTCTTCCTCCTGGGACTCCGCTTCCTGGCCCTTGGAATTTTCAGCAGCTGGAGGATTCTTAGCAGAGGAGTTTTCAGCAGCTTCTTTTCCAGCCATCTCCTCATCCATATTGTTCAGGTCATTGTTCTGCACAGAAGCTTCAAGTTTAGCATGGGAATTGTTGATGTCATCACCACCAGCATGAGAGTTGGAAGCCATTGTAGAAAAGAATCACCGTATCATTGTTACATATCTATTGCAAGTTGTTACCACCGCGGTGACTAACTAAGATATTCTCCAAAGGAGAAATGTATTCAATAGATCCTACAACCCCAATTGTAGGAAAAACCACTCTGTTGCGAAATATCCTTACCACCGCAGTGGATAAGGCAAGAACAATCACAATGTGATCAACAGAAATGTTAATCTGCACAGGGTACCAATAACCAGCTTCTTCAATATGGCTCCAGAAGTTCCACCGGCATGGAGGGAGGGAGGGAGTAAAGTCTTATAAAAGCTTGCATTTTTTATTTATTTATTTATTTATTTATTTATTTATTTATTATTATTATTATTATTTGAAAACTTGAGCTTGAGTAGCTTGTAGTCTTCACATGTTTATAATATGAAAATTACAATGACAATCACAACCTCTCCAAGAAAAAATAAATGAGAAATCTTCCTGGATGCCCACAAGGAGAGAATCTCCCTATAGCTTTGATACCAATGTAACGTCTCCACAACTAGAAACGGCATTTACCCATATATAAATAGGTTCTGGTACAAAACAGAAAGTAGTAGCTCTTGGAATTGACCTAGTCTAGAGAGTGCTAGAGGATCCAGTAACAAACTGTGGAAGGCGAGTTGTGAGAGAACTAGTTGGGATTAGGAAATAGAGAATGAGCTTGGAAGGCTCAGACCCCTTCCTACAACCCCCTGGGGTGCAGCCACCTTCCCCATGGCACGGAGGGGTGTACCTCCATGGGCCTTGCCCATGTGGCAATAATTGAGATTCTCGACCAATTGCATTTTAGACGGCAAGGATAAGCAATGCACAGCTATCGCAAACTTGTTGCTGTATTGGTTGCAATTTCAAGGAAGAGTCGAGTAGGATTTAGGTTGGCTATTTCTGATTGATTCTTATTCCAACCAGCGGCGAAAGTTCTGTCAACTCACTTTGTGTGAGTATGTTCTGATTGGTTGGGCAAGGGTTGTGTGTGAACGGGCGTGGGTTGTTTTCCAACCTATCTGTAAGTTCTGTCACAATTGTGTAGCAAAGTTCTGATTGGTTGTAGTTCCAATCCATCCCAAGTTCCACGCAAGTCTCGCTTTCCCTTCCATTCTCAACCAATCACATTTCCCCCTCACAACTGGTTCAATGTATCGAGACCAGGGGGGTTGGGTACGGATGTTACAGCTACCGCCGCACGAATGCCTAGTAGATACAGGAAAAGCGGCTCTTTTGAGGCGGCGTGGTTTAATACTACGAATGGCTAATACTACGAGCGACTAATTGCTGGTGCTACTAGTACTAACGACATGCTCCATACTACTATGGTAGGTGGTGCGATGAAGGTGATGTGAGGGGACACACATTACTCACTACAGTGCGTTAAAACGAGGTGAGAAAAG